TATATATAAAAGACTGTTTTTCTAAGTAATCTAGAATCTAGCTGCAAGGACCCGCTTCGCTGGGTTTTTATTTGTGGGCAAAAAGTAACGATAGTGAAGATTAAGATAATTACATTATAGCCAATCTTACCCGTTTTCACAAAATGCAAGAATTAGGTCTCCCGTTTCCAGACGTTTCCAGAGAATTTTTACATGAGCATAAAAATATGTTCGATTTCCCGCAAAAGCGCAAAAAACCGCCTGTAAATCTTGCATGCCGCTTTATATTAACACTTCCTGGTCCCAATTCTATTTCTTAAACCCTCAAAATTAAGCTTTTTAAAATTCTATAATAGTTAAAAATATAAAAATTTTAAAAATAAAATATAACAGATTGTACCACCAAAATTTTAAAGGTTGCCGGGAACGTTGAGTAATCAGTTGCTAATTTATTTCAAATTGCAACCCGGCATTGTGACAATGTCATAATAAATAATTGCTCATTTATATATTAAATTTTATATCTATATCTACAATTACAAATAATAAATTATGTACGAGAAGTTATTTTCTAATTGATAAATTAAAAGCATTTTAATATTTTGTGAAAAACGCTGTACTTAGTTTATAAAGATCTTATAGTTATTCAATGTTTTAATACTCAGTTGAAGAAAGTGTCAATTCTGTATCGTCTTGTATGTCTCTATAAAATGACCTCTTGGTAGTTGATCGCGATTTCATACCTACTAACTGGCTGACCACGTGGGTTTTCAAGATTTTATTCATGTTTGTAACATCTAAGTAAGGGCCAGTTCACATAAAAATCCTCCAAGGAACATCTCCTTAGCAGATCGTACATGTATAAACTAAACCAAACTTTAGTTTGGTGGGCTCCAAAATGATATTCAAACGAGAGCCTTAAAATTATAATAATGCCACTGGTTATAACAATATAACCAGTCACTAATAAAAAGTTTGGGAAAACCAACAATTGCTGTTGTATAAGAGTGCCTGCAGTTGCTGCTGTATAAAAATGTTTACGTTGACCCGTCCATCCCGCTAGATGGCGTGCGGTTTTAATGGCTTTTATTGTTAATATTTAATGTTTAATAATATGATTGAAGAGAGTTGGCAACACCAAGACGGTGGTGTTAAGTTCCAAAAAAGGTGCGAGAACATAACGGAATGCTCTTCCTATGGAATTATTGTATATAGTCGATTTGTTGGTTTTTTGTGTGAATAAAATCTAAAAGACGGACTTGGTGAACTTTTCTTAGTTGAAGATACGACGGGAACCTGGTGTACGAACAAGACGGTCAGGTGAGACTTACAAATTAATACGAAATTTAATTAATCATCACATGAGACAAGAATCGGCCTGACGCGACATACGTTGTGATTACAGTCGACTCCCCTATAAGATATAGATACGTTCCATTCTTTAGGAATCCGATTTCTTACGAATCCTTCCAATCATAACCCGACACGTGTCAAGTTTACGGACTACGGCTGTTTGAAAGATTTTCTTCCATAAAATTAATCGATTCTAGACTAATCCGACTCAACATTTCCAAAATACGTATATATTTTTTGGAAATAATCCGTATAAACTACGCTATAAACAAAAAATTGTAGGATTACTTACCGAGTATGCACCATTCGACAACCCCATTGCT